TTTTTTTTTTTTTTTTTTTTTAGTTTCAGAAATGGTTCTCTGCTCAATGTTATAATCAAGGACCCCAGAGTGTCTGTTCTCTTCACTCCACCATCTTTAATCTGTTGGTTCTTTGTCCTCATACTTGTTTCTCTGTGGTTGAACATGACTACCAAGCTCCAGACATCACTCCTGTCTGCAGGGCAGGAAGGAGGGAGAAGAGAGAAGGGCAAGGGCCTAACATCTCCCCCCCCCTTTGATAAGGAAACCAAAAGGCTTCCCAGTGTCCCTCCAGCTCACTGGTAGTACTCTGTTATTTGGCCACACCAGCTGCAAGGGAGTTTGAGAAAGCAAGCATATAACATTTCTCGTTCTCTGAATTTAGCGGGAAGCCTTTCAAGGGAGAGAGAGGTTGGGAACATCTGATAGTGTCTGTCACAGAGCTTAAGAGGCATGGAAGATGAAGTCAGAGCATGTCTAAGTCCCACGTCCAGTGGGAATTCCGGAAGAAGAGGAAAGAAAACGTGCAGAGGGATAATATTTGAGGAAGTGGTGCCTGAAATGTTTCCAGAAGGATGAAAGACCACAGATTCTTTTTTTTTTTTTTTTTTTTTGCGGTACGCGGGCCTCTCACCGCTGCGGCCTCTCCCGTTGCGGAGCACAGGCTCCGGATGCGCAGGCTCAGCGGCCACGGCTCACGGGGCCCAGCCGCTCCGCGGCACGTGGGATCCTCCCGGACCGGGTCGCGAACCCGCGTCCCCTGCATCGGCAGGCGGACTCTCAACCACTGCGCCACCAGGGAAGCCCAAGACCACAGATTCTTAATGAATCTCAAACAGGATGAATGATACAAAATATCCATCCAGACACATCATAACATAACTGCAAAAAAAAAAAGCGAAGACATATAATCTACAAATAATTTCTACTAACCAATAATAATAATTAAAAACCTAGTAGAAAATTATCAAAGTCTGGGATAGACAACTCACAAATGGCCAGTAAACATTTAAAAAGATGTTCAATCTTACTAGCGATTAGGAAAATCTCAGTTGAAGTAACAGTGAGACATACTTGTGTAACCTCAGAGGATGAAATGACAAAGGGAAAGGACAGCTATCGTAGGAATTTTAGTCCTATCACAGTGTACACCAAAGTGTTTGAAACTTTGGGTAGAATGGGTAGTTTTCTTTAAAAAAAAGTATGTAAATACATTCCTTCAAATAGTAAATGTAGGGCTTCCCTGGCGGCGCAGTGGTTGAGAGTCCGCCTGCCGATGCAGGGGACGCGGGTTCGTGCCCCGGTCCGGGAGGATCCCACGTGCTGCGGAGCGGCTGGGCCCGTGAGCCGTGACCGCTGAGCCTGCGCGTCCGGAGCCTGTGCTGCGAAACGGGAGAGGCCGCAACGGTGAGAGGCCCGCGTACCGCAAAAAAAAAAAAAAAAAAGAAAAGAAAAAAATTCCGGAGCCTGTGCTGCGAAACGGGAGAGGCCGCAACGGTGAGAGGCCCGCGTACCAAAAAAAAAAAAAAAAAAAAGTAAATGTAAATATTTCTCCAAAACTTACTCAGAAAGAAGTAGAACTTTAACCTTTATTAAAGAAGTGAAATTCATTGTTTTAAATATAGTCACACACACACAAACAAAAAAATCCCAGTAAGCCCAAGTTCCACTGAACCTTTAAGAAACAGCTGTCCCTATTGTGCAAATACAAGTCTAGAGAATCTAAAAAGGAGTAAGGGGACTTAATGTCTGGCCAAGATGGCGTAGCAGAAACCTGATTTATCTTCTGAAACACTATAAACAGCTAACAAGTGACCACAGATAATTGACATAAGGAATCAAAGACACAATGAGAACTTGTTAGAAGATGATATTATACACAGAATACGGTTTTCTTTGTAGTGTTACAGTTAATATTTGCTTTTAAAATTTAACATTTTTTCCTATTTTTCATCTCACGTACTACTGTAGTGAAAGCTGGGGAGCAAATGAGATCATCTTGTTGAACTAAGTCAGAGCCAGCAGTTTCATTTGTAGAGATGTCTCTGAGGAGCTACTGACAAACAGCATGATGAATCTCAAAACCATTTAGGAATGTTTGTGAGCAATTTAACCCGTTTATGCCATCAAGAAAATAGAAGCTTCCTACATTATTAAATTTGCTTTACAGTATCGTGAGATGGATTGAAAAATAATATATTTAATTACACATGACATTTCAAAAATACACCCAATCAGAACTGACAGCAGTAATAATCCCAAGTCCTTGGTCAAGTTCTGTTATTAGATTAGTCAGGAAAAAAAATTCCCTTATATGTGTATATTCTAGCAAATATAGGTTTCTGGGTTTACCATTGTTAGCAAGGATGAGATTTTTTACAAGTGAAAACCCTACAGTGTTCCCCAAATTTTAGAATGCATTCCTTCCCAGCCACGGTGTAATATGGAAATTTAACACCCCACATCACAGGTGGAACAACTCCTCACAGGAAGAACAGGAGAGAGAATATGTGTGATACTGTTGCCGCTGCCGTAAAAGCAGCCAGCATGTGTGCTCTCCGAAGGTTGATGTGTTCGTACCTGCTGAGGTGGGCACGCCCGCACTAGGTCATACGGTCTGTGAGGGTGTCGCTTGCTGGGTGAGCCAGTGTGTCCACCAGAACGGTCATTCCTCACACAGCCTAAGGTCTTCAGGTCACCTGGGAAGGGAGGTCATTATGACTCAGGATTTTATGGGGATATCAGAATGATTCCTTAGGCATAACAGGACCTGATCTGTAGCATAAACTTTATAGAGGCTACTTAGACAATTAATTCACTTACTATGTGCAAGTTTACTCTGTGCCGGGCATTTTCCATGTGTTGACTCATTGGCCCTCTCAAAAGTCCTGCGACGTAGATGCTCCTTGTGGGTGGGACACTGAGACAGTGCGGTTCCATGAAAGGGCACATGGCCAGTGAGTAGCAAAGACAAGGGTCAAGGAGGCCAGCTGTCTCCAGAGCCCACGTCTCACCCCTCCGTGACCCTGCCTCTGGGCAGCCATGCCCACCTGGGCTCTGAAAGCACAATTTATTCATAGTCTGTGGAGCACGTGTGTGTTATATTGTAATTTCTCTGATTATAGAGCTTATCTCCATCCCCACCAAGACCCCTGAGGACAAGAAGCCCTATCGTTTTTCTTTTTATCAATTATTTTTATTGTGGTGAAATACGCATAACATGCCCCAAGTGTCTGCCCCTTGACCAGCACCACTCTGCCTTGATTAATAGAGCTTTAGAAATTGTGACATCAAGTCTTCCAACTTTATTCTTCTTTTCAGAATTGTTTTGGCTATTCCGGTACCTTTGCCTTTGTAAATTTTAGAATCAGTTTGTCGCTATCTACCCCCCAAAAAAGCTTGCTGGGCTTTTGGTTGGGGTTGCATTGTATCTGTAGATCAGATGGGAGGAATTGCCATTTTAACAACACTCCGTCTCCAAGCTATGAACCTAGAATATCTCTCCATTTATTTAGAGCTTCTTGATTTCTTTCATCAGTATGTTGTAATTTTCTGCATGTGGTGTTGTATAGTTTTCTGCATGTAGATTTTTTTGGGTCCCATTTTAAATGGTTGGTTTTCTTTTTTTTTTTTTTTTTTTTTTTATGCGTTTGTTTTTTTTTTTTTTTTTTTTTTTTTTTTCATATGCCGTTGTTCATTGCTGGCATGTAGGAAAGTTGTTGATTTTGTGTCCTGAGACTTGGCTAAACTTGCATATTAGTTCCAAGAGGTTTTTCTGGTAGACTCTTTGGAGTTTTCTGCATAGACAGTCATGTCATCTGCAAATAAAGGCAGTTTAGTTCTTTCGAATCTGTATGCCTTTCGTTTCTCTTTCTTGCCTTACTGCACTGGCTAGAACTTCCAGTACAGTGCTGACTAGGAGAGGTGAGGGAAGACATCCTCACCTTGTTCTTTTTTGCTGATCCTAGCGGGGAAGTGCTCAGTTTCTCACTATTAAGTATGATGTCAGCCCTTGGGTTTTCTATATGTTCTTTATTAGGTAAAAGAAATACCCTTCTATTTCTGGTATTTTGAGAACCTTTATTATGAATAGTTACTGAATTTTGTATAATGCTTTTTCTGCATCTATTGATATGACCATATGGTTTTTCTTATTAGTCTGTTTGTATAAATAACATTGATTGATTTATGGGTGTTTGAAGCAGCCTTGCTTTCCTGAGATGAACCCCACTTGGTCATGATTCAATTGATAATATTTATTAAGGATTATTGTGTCTGTGTTCAAGTGAGAAATTGGTAGTTTTTTTTTGTCATGTCTTTGTCTGGTTTTGGTATTAGTATTGGTGCGGGTTTCGCAGAATGAGTGAGGAGGTGTTCCCTCCTCTTCTGTTTCCTGGAAGAGCTTGTGTAGAATTGTGTTATTTCTTCCTGAACTGTTTGGAAGAATTAACCAGTGAAGCCGTCTGGGTCTGGGTGTTTTCTTTTTTGGGAAGGTTTTAAGCTACTAAATCAAACTAAGTGTCATGCACTAGCAGATTTTTACTGATGCGGCATACCCTCTCTTCTCCTGAAAAGTGCTAAATGATTTCTTCAAACACGTTCAGATGTCACGTTAACCATGTACCAAAATATTTTAAAATTTAATTATTGTTAGGTTCAGGCCTATCGGATGCTCTGAGTAAAACAGTGAATATTGATCAGACGTCCGAATCCTCTCTAAGCAGGAAGATGCATCCTTGCCCCCCTTGGAGGGAGGTTTGCCGTCCCTCCAGCACCTCTGGAAAACACTTTGTTTTCCTTTTCAAATTGTTCTAGGTACATCTGTGTGGAATGTTCCACGCATTTCTTTTCCACCCCTTTCCCATGACCAATGCTGTGCTGATTTCTTCACATAACCAGGGAGCAAAATCAGTAAAATATATTCAGATGTTGAAACAGAAGATACATGGCTGGTTCCGGGCCTCAGCCAGCTCTGACCCCGCCCAGGAGCAGATGTGCTAAGTTCAGCCTGCTTTTCCACTGCATCTCTGCTTCTGGCTTTACGCCAGGACCTTCCCTAGTGTTCTCCTGTGACCACAAAAGACTCCAAGTTCAGCCCCAAAGTGAATTATTAAATATGTTCAGCAGCATGAATTTCAGGAAGGCCTGGCCAAGCAATAGACGGAGTGCCGTCCTGCCTGCCACCACTCCCGGCCTCTGCCTCTGCCTCTGCCTGCCCATTGCCAACAAAATGAGGGGGAAACAACAGTAAAACATTGAATGGTGACCCTTAATTCTGGTAAGACAGCTTTCAATCGGTTCAGGACTTTGGTGGCACGAATCCAACAGAAGGAAGCAGTAACGCACAGAGGAGATGCTCATTGCAAAGTCTGTGTGGTGAGGAAGGGACCGCAGTCACGTGCCATGCGCTGAGAGGACGGGGATAAGTCATTACCCTGGACACTGCACATCTGCTAAAATGACACAGCACAGTTGTGTGGGAAATTGTGTATGAAAAGTGTCAAAGCACGGGGCACACAGTGACGGAGCGTGCGGGACACAGGTGTGCGTTCAGAGGTAGCTTGGAGAGGTGGGAATCCTTTTACAATAATGGAATCGCGGTGACTCTTTTCAAAACTTTTGTTTTATTGAAGTCTAGTTGATTTGCAATGTTGTGTGAATTTCTGCTGTACAGCAAAGTGATTCAGTTATATACATACATACATATATATATATATCCTTTTTCATATTCTTTTCTATATATATATATATATATATATATATACACATTCTTTTTCATATTCTTTTCCATGATGGTTTATCACAGGATGTTGAATATGGTTCCGTGTGCTCTACAGTAGGACCTTATATCCATTCTATATATAATAGTTTGCATCTGCTGATCCCAACCCCCTCCTCCTTGGCAACCACAAGTCTGTTCTCTGTCTGTGAGTCCGTTTCTATTTTCTGTATAGATTCATCTGTGTCATATTTTAGATGTTGGGGGTAGGAGTTTATTAATTAATTAATTTATTTTTGCTGTGTTGGGTCTTGGTCTCTGTGCGAGGGCTTTCTCTAGTTGTGTTGAGCGGGGGCCACTCTTCATCGCGGTGCGCGGGCCCCTCACTATCGCAGCCTCTCTTGTTGCGGAGCACAGGCTCCCGGTGCGCAGGCTCAGTAGTTGTGGCTCACGGGCCTAGTTGCTCCGTGGCATGTGGGATCCTCCCAGACCAGGGCTCGAACCCGTGTCCCCTGCATTAGCAGGCAGATTCTCAACCACTGCACAACCAGGGAAGCCCTGTGTCATATTTTAGGTTCCACGTATAAGTGATATCATATGGTATTTGTCTTTCTCTGTCTGACTCACTTCACGTAGTATGGTAATCTCTGGCTGCATCCATGTTGCTACCAGTGGCATTGTTTCATTCTTTTTTATGGCCGAGTAGTATTCCATCGTATATATGTACCGCATCTTCTTTGTCCATTCCTCTGTTGATGGACATTTAGGTTGTGTCCATGGCTGTTGTGAATAGTGCTGCAGTGAACATTGGGGTGCGTGGATCTTTCCGAATTATGGTTTTGTCCAGACACATGCCCAGGAGTGGGATTGCTGGATCATAGGGCAATTCTTATTTTTAGTTCAAAACTTCTTTTAATGTTCATTGTCATGTTGTTAAAAGATGGGAGAGGTGGGAGGTCAAGTCTGATGTTTCCTAAAAGGGACAGCATCTCTTGAACAAACGGGAAGGAAAAGCTTTTCTTTTCACTAAGCACCTTTAGCACCAGCCGGGTATTGCCTGTACGTGCCGGCTGCATGGGAAGGCTTTGTGGCGCCCCATGACCTCTGCCCTCTCCCCCAGGAGCTCAGTGAGATGCTGCACACAGACCGGCCCGACTGGCAGAGCGTGATGCAATATGTGGCCCAGATCTACAAGTACTTTGAGACGTAAGTCCGGAGGCAGCGCTCGCTGCTCGTCCCTGCTCCGTCCAGCGCCCAGCTTGCCCAGGGCCAACACACACACAAGAAACAGCCAGGTCCACCGCGCCCACCTTGAACGCCGACGCACGTGGCCCGTAAGGGGGGGGGGGGGGCACGCTCTCTTGGGTCCCCCTTCTCCACGGGAGCCCAGCGGTGTGTTCACTGGAGGCTGCCCTGAGGCTCATGACAAACAGCACTTCCAAACCCCACCGTCTCTACTACAGATGCTGGCTTCTGCCTCTATAAAAACTGCACTTGACACCTCCCAGCCCCCTCCAAAAAAAAAAAAAAACGCCCAACAGAACACAAAAAGACAAAGTTTGCTCTCAAGCAACCCTGAAACACACGAGCGCCCTGCGTTCTGGGGAAAAGACTTGCGTCCTCATTAAGGACTTCACCACCTTTAGGTCTCCTGTCCCTTATTTGATTCTTTGGGTGGAAGATCAAACTTGAGATGCAAAGGAGCCCCTGGGTAGTTTGCTGGGTGTCCCTGGGAGGGACAGGAGGAAATGTGTCTGGGACGCAGTCACACCAGGACCCAGTGCTCAGCGGCAGCGGACGGGAAGCCTCCGTGACTGTCACCTGCTCCGAGTGTCCTGCACGTATTCACACCCCATCCACACCCACACGTTTGCCCCTGACAAAGGAGAACCTGACAAAGTCGCTCATACAGAAGGGACTGGCCTGTGCCGGCTGGGGTCCTCGTGCTTTTGCACAAACGGTTGGAGGACGTGTATTTCTTGGGATGCTGGGCAGATGGCGATGTAAACAGTATTTCAACTCTGGCTGTGGTTTTAGCCCTTCCCCAGGCCGCCTATATTTGCACGGCAAAGGAGGCCTTGGGGGCAGGCAGAGCCGGCTGGGGTACAACTGAAGGAGGCAACTCAGTTTCCCTAGAGCCTGCAGTCACCCTAAGCGGCAGCAGAGCCCTCTCCAGAGCCGCCCTCCGCCTGGGAGGTGCAGGCGCAGGTGATCACCTGGGCAAATAAATGTACATTACGCAGCAAATGAGGTTCACCCTGGCCCAGGGGGATCCCGCAGCTGCTTACATCAGCGCCCGTCGACCAGGGTCCTTCCCACGGCCCCAGAGCCCAGGGTGGCTGGCCCTGCACAGTACTCCCTGCAGGCTGGGAGGAGCCCTTGTTCATAGCCGGGGCCCCATCGGTCCCTGTCCTGGGGGCGGCTGAGCTCGGCCCTCCCTCCCGGCCGCCTTGGAAGAGGCATCCGGGTCCCACACGGCGCCCGTCCCTCCACCTCAAGCTGCCGAGGCCGCTGGCTGGGGTCCCTCTGCAGGGGGCTCGTTGAAAACACACACTCCTCACCTGCCCCAGCGTGGAGTCAGAGTACTGGGAAGGGGACCAGGGTTGCGATCTGTATATTTTCAAAGTCCCCGAGAAGCACTGAAAGGAGAGAGTCTGGTGACGGTGGCCGTGATGATTTGTCTTCACGTGGAAGCTGGAGGCACCACCCGGACAGGTGTAGCTCTCGCCTTCCTGAGGGGCGGAAAGATACTCCCGGTGTCTCCTCGTCCCCCGACCCTGCCTTGCTTGCTTCCCCAGGAGTGGGGTTGGGCCGTTGCTGGTTGTGTGCAGCCTGGGGTCACCGTGAGGCTCCGTGTGGGAGGGGCCGCTGATGCCTCAGGGTGCCTGGAGGGGCCTGGGCGCTGCGGGGTCCTGTCTTCAGTGATCACTGCGGGGGGATTTGGAATCAGCACGGAGCCTCTGCGGTGGAGGTGTTGCTGTTTCCCCTCCCCCCGTGCTGGAGCTGCTGCCCCTGTAGGCTAGAAAGAGGAGAGGAGGCCATGTGCAATTGTTTTTATAACGCAAAGAGGTTGCCTGACTGCTTTGCAGCGAGAGCACCCTTAGGGCACAGGGCACCTGTGTCCTGCCCGCAGGGACAAGGGTGGCGTTTGGGCAGGCCTGGCCCTGCGGGGGCCCGGGGGTGCCAGCTCAGGCCTTCCAGGGCTGCAGGGCCGGGGCCGGGGGGCGGGGGGCCCGCCGCGTAGGTCAGGTTTTAACTGGGGAGCTCGGAGCACAAGGTGAGTGTGGAACACTTGAGAGCACATGGTGGTTACTGTCAGCAAACCGCATCCTCCCCAGTTTTCTGTCCTTAGGTTTTCAGAGGCCACAGTATCCGTGTTACTTCCCATCTTCCTTCAGCCAGCACTTCGTCACTTAAAATTATTTGGTGGCTCTACAGATCCTTTTTCCATAAAATGTATTATTTTTATACACAAGATAGATGCAGAATGCAAGACCCCCCCAAGAGTGGAAGAATTTTGTTTTGTTTTGTTTTGTATTTTTAAGGACATGAAGAGAAGTCCATGGTTCTTTGCGTTGAATTGTTTCACGGCTGATGGTGGCTCCACGGGCCCTGCCCACAGGGCTCGGTGTCTGGGCAACCAGGCCGATGCACCCACCTGCCATTCTGTCCCTCGTCATTTCAGAAACGACGACGGTCTTTGGTTTTCGTTCTTCACCCACCTGTTGTTTTATAGCTTTTATTGATTCCACCCAGAGGCTCCTGAGTGGCTCACACCTGGTGTCACGGTCCCCAGACCCATGGGCTGCTTTCCCAGTCGCCCCCCACGTCCCCGCTGAGGGGACAGGCACCGCGCTGCCTGGGGACAGAGGTCACGGTCGTCAGATACAAGCCCCTTTGCCAAATCCAGCCCTAGTTCTTCCCAGCCCAGAGCTCGAGGGCCATTTGAGAGGAGCTGACCAGTGACGTGCGGCAAAGGACAGGACCCAGCAACCTTTTTATAAAGGATTTTTAATATCGCATGTGCCTGGCATCACTGCGGGTTTCACTTCTCCGACCCAGGTTAGAGCTGGGCTAAACCTGTGCTGTCCCGAGTAGCTCAGTAACTTCGACTGCATGAGTGGAATGCAGCAGTGCGTTTGTGACCTCATTTCTGCCAAGAGCACAGACCGTGCCCAGCGCTGTCAGGACGCAACAGAGCCGTGTGTAACTGTGAATGTGGACGCGTGCAACGTATGGCTCTGTAATATTTCTAATAAATATATTTTGTTTCTGTCTGACTATGAATTTGTCCCAGTGACATTTATTGTTACTGTTTTCTCAAAATGCCAGGCTTCCATTCAGTCTGTTTCCAAACTGGCATCTTCGCGTCCCTGTTCCTCACTGGGCCGTGGTCCCCACTGCAACTGCCGGGGGTCACCAGAAAGGACTGGGTCCTGACACCCCTTGGCCCCCTCCCCTGCACGGCCCCTTGCTGTGACCGCGGTTCCCCGGGGACCCCGCCCTCCAGGGCCGCACGGGGTGCTGCAGAGCTGCTAGGACGTGCCCACTGCGGGTGGGGGGCAGGAGGGGTTATACCAAGATCGCGGAGGCAGAGTGAACACGAACTTTAACGGACTGGGGATGCTGGTGTGTGCTGACACCAGGACGCTGAGTGAGCGATTCGTCAGGTGACGTGTGGTCTTCGGGCACCACTCGGAGGCCGTCCTTCACGGTGCCTTTGGGGACCAGCCCTGCCCACAGGAGAGGACAGAGGAGAAGCCTCTCCACCTCCCCCTCCTCCCAGGGAGGCCCCACGCTCTGGCCTTTCCCTCGCGGGGGACTCCGTCTTCCCAGGACAGCACAGCCTGGGATGAGGGTGTGACAGGCCCGGGGCCAGGACGGTGGCCGCCAGCCACTTCCTCTGGGCCGTCAGGTGCCGCGCGATGCTGCACCCAGAAGATACCAGGCTCCCCATGTGATGACCCAAAGCCGTGTCAGCGGCTCAGCCCGCCTACATGCATGCGCGCCCACACACACGGACGCGTGGACGTTTGGTGGATGGCCAGTACCTCAGCCGTTGCCAGTCATCCCTCAGTGGCTTGGGGTCCAGCGGGGAGGTTCCTGGTCTCTGGACGAAGCACAGCCCGCGTGTACTGACTCTGCTCCCGGTGGGGCTGACCCACAGCCCGTGCTCCTGGTGGCGTCTGTGACTCAGCCTGACTGGCTCTGAGCTGCCCGAGGGGTCTGTGGCCGCGGGGGTCTTGGCCAGCGGCCAAGCACCACCACCTTCCTGCTGCAGGGCACTCAGCTCCCCAGGGCAGAGCCGCGTCTCCATTTGTTCAGATGACAAGATCTGATGTATTACAGGGCCAGGGATATTTTCAACCCTCTGATCTTGCAGTCCTGTAAGCCAGGGTTTTAGACCTTATCTCCTAGACCAGCTCATGCCCCTCAGGGTCTCAAGACAAGTTTGAAGCTGTGCACTATGACTTTTTTAGGGATCTTTTATTTCGAGGGCCTAAATTTTTTATTTGAAGTCTTAAAAATGTTGAGAATTCTACATTCCCTCCACAGCATATCAGTGAGTTTCATATAAAGATGGTGACTTTTCCCCTAAAAAAATCTTTGAGTAACATCAACACGCCGGCAAGGTTCATCACCTCATCCTAAAGCCACGTCCCGTGGCGTCGAGAGCCCACAGGCCTGCCTGCGAGTCCCGGGGTGAGTCCAGCTTCGGGGCGGCGCGAGTCCAGCTGGAGAAGCGCAAAACTGGCCATAAAGGTGAGTCACAAATCGTGTAACTGCAGGCATCTGGGAATAGAAAACCGGGGAGCACGGTGGTCACCAGCCTCCTTGGAGCCCCTTTCTACACGCTTCTGGAAAGGTTCTCCTCTGGAGCTGTTTGCACATGGCAGTGTGAGGAACCAGGCTGGATTCGAAGAACACTTGCTGGCCTTCCCATCCTCCAGGTTGAGTCAGCTGGAACCCACCTGCGTTTCATTGTCTGTGTCCCCGGCCCATGGAGGATCCCTCCCATACTTCAGACAATGGAAACCTGTCTCCCAGCAGAGAGCAGACTCGTGGAGCCTGGGGATTTGGCAAATCTGGATGGGACCTGGACCCAGGCATCTTCTCCCGCCTGTTCACAGTTTAAAGCAGCAGGCGCTCTTCCTTAACTTGCGGCTCCAAGCTTGCTGCACGAGAGCAGAGATGTGGTGAGGTCTCGGC